GGTGGGACTTTGCGTCTCCTCCGGAGAGCACCTGGTGTGGCAGGGGTCTCAGGGGACATGAGGGCCCACCCACCCAGACTGTCCTCAGCCCCAGAGACATGGTGGTTCATCTGGGCAGAGGATGAAGAAAGAGGTCGCCACACCCCTGCCGTGCCCAGGCTGGAAAAGGCTACACCAGGAGGCTCAGGGTCTGCCCCAATGCCCTCATCGGTCAGACTGGACTCAGGTCCTGAGAGCTCCTCCTGAGACCGCTGCCCTCGAGTCATGTCCTCTGCCCAGTCAGGACTTCTAGGGGGGACATCACTTCCATCATCCTGCTGGGCACCCATGCGCTGGATCTTCTCAAAAACCTGACGAGCCTCCTGTACATATTGATCCTGGACCACAAGTGGCAGTGGATCCTCCTCAACATCAAGGCCTGCTAGCAGGAGCTCAGAGGAGCTGGGCTTCAGGGCACTGGTGCGGGGTAGACGCCGGGCCACCGGCTTCTCAGAGCAGGTAAACGACTTTGCCCTCCTCAGGGTGGCTGTCAAGTCCTTGAGCGTAGGGCGGGTGCCAGGTGATGCTGGGGCTTGGGAGGGCACCGGCTCAAGTTGCTCCACTAGGCCACCTACTGAGGTTGAGTCCCTGCCATCTAGGGGGCTGCTTCCAGGTCCCACACTGGGCTTTCGGACTCTCAGCTCAGAAAGGTCTGAGCGCAGAAAACTGAGAAGTGTCAAGGTCTCTGAGGCGATATCTGGATTTGACAGGGACTTTTGCTGCCTACTCTTGTTCGGCTCCAATACTCCATCCCTTAAGGCCCTGGTGATGCCCACAGGTCCCTTGGTTCGGCTTCGTGCCTGGGGCCGCAGGAGACCTTCCCCCGCTCCAAAGCTAGGAGAGCGGTACAACCCCCAGGTCCCAGAACCCCGGCCAGCCCACAGGTCGTCATCTTTGAGGGTCTCGGTGCTGGAATAGCGGCTGCTACCGCGAGAGCCCCCAGGGCTGGCCAGGTATGCGGGAAAGCTCACCTTGGCTACACGGAAAGCTCCTCCCACAGTGTCCGACGTAGGCCGAAAGCCCTCCTGGGAGCCCGAATCACAGGGCTGCAAGCCACTACCCCACTCCCGAGGTCCCTCTTCGCTAAGACCTCTTCTTGGAGAGATTGGAGGTTCAGGGCTCCTGACCACCCCTGCTGAGTCCATACTGCCCAAATTTAACCCATCACTATCCGGCCTGCAGTCCTGATCCAATAGGGCGCTTCCAGACCTGAACCCCGGCCTCCTCCAGGGGCGACTGCCCTCACCGTCTTGGTCCTCCTCACTGCCTGAGGAGCGGCCGCCGTGGTAGGCCGGACTCTGCGCCCCTGGCTGCAGTGGCGGGCCCTCCTCTTCCTCTTCGCTGGAGCTGGCAGCCCGGCTGCGGCTGACAGGATAGGAGGAGGCCAAGGAGAAGGAGGAGGAGCAGGAGGCCCGGGCCCCGGCCTGCGGTTGGG